CGACTGTTTTAAACGCATGCGCGCTCCTGTTTCCTTGCATGAAGCAACCGTGCCTGGAAACGCAACTGGTGTGATCGGTTCTCTTTCGAATAGACTAGACAAAAAGTGATGCTCGTTCACCCACAGTCTTGCTGCTTTCAAGAGCTCCAGCACCGGTTGCCTTCGCTTTAACCATTTTTTGAACAGATTATTAATTGGCCTAACAATAACCGTTTACATGTGATCATCCTTTCATTATCACATATGGTGTTTTTTCACCTGCTTTCTTTTGCTTCGTTATTTTTGTTAAAATGTTTTAATCATCATTTTTTTATAATAAAATTGCTTTAACGGGAGATTAACTCCCCGCTTATCTGTAGTTAACTGCTGATCTGAGACCTTTAACCAGGATTGATTACTGTGCTTAGTTTTAGATACATGACAATAATTATTTTTTTAAATGAGAATTGTTTTTTGGTTTTGTAAAAAAAAAAATTTTGTTAAATAAAAAGTATAGTATACAGCTATAATTTGCGTTTTTTGACATTTAAAATTTGTGGCTAAGAAATAATTCTTTATGTTTGGTGTGGTCAGAGATAACTTTAGTAAATCCTTCATTTTGAGCTCTGTAAAGTCATGTGAAATAAAAACTAATTGTAATAGGACACTATGAAACCACAACCCATTAGCTCATGCTCATTAAGCAAGTTCATACAGGACACACAAAAAGTGAAATAAACGAGGAGGCATGTAGACAAAACGCAAAATCTACATCAAGCAGTTTTAGCATGACAAAGTCAAATTTATGCATATAAAATATATTTTTCCAACAACAAAATTGTGGCTAGTAATGTTGGAAATCTACTAGCCACAGTGGCCGGTGATCAAAAAAGTTAATGTCAAGCCCTGATTATAGGTAATACTATTAAATCCACATGAATCAAGTGGGTTCACTCAGACCGCTCCACTACATGGTCGATCGCTGAACAGATTTCATTATTTTTACCTGATCTTAGATCAGTTTTACAAGTTTGTAGATGTTTTAGTGGCATTTGCAAATGAAATCAAAGTAGTTAATGTTTAGCAGAGCCCACAGTGGAACAAACAAAATATAAGCCTAGAAAATGTTTAAAAGAGTGCATATTATTCAGACACTTAATATTTCACCATACGAGATGAGACACCAAGTGCATTTTTCTTACAGTTTAAAGTTGGCATTATATTTGAAGAGGCCAGTTCTAATGCCTGTTTTGCATGTTTTTATTTCATTAACACATTTTTAATCAATAGGTGTCCTGAGCATGTGCTGTTTTCAGCCATCACAAACAGTGAATCATTTTGCCAAAGCAGTTGGTAATTTTTTTCAAAGCTTATAATTGAGCTAAAACTTTAAACATTCTAGAGACATGTAAAATGTGGGGCGTAACAGCACCTCTTTGCTGACAGATTTTGTGTTTGGGTTCTGATTCACAAGGCTGCCTTCATTGCTCTGCAGGTTTGGGGCGTTTTTTAAACGGCATCACAGACGAGATGAAGCAAGCGCACAGAGAGAGACTCTTCGCTGTGACTGAAAGAAATCTCATTGATGTCGCTGGCAGGTAAACAGACATTTTCATGCATTTAGGAGACACCTTGAACAATATATTTTGCACATTTCATCATGTGTTCCCTGGTAATCAAACTGAATGTCCAATGCTGTGTTCTGATGGTTCACCTAAAACCCTAAATACTGTCATCATTTGCTCGCCCTTCTCTTAATCAAAACCTGATTAAGCACACAATGGAGGATATTGTGAAGAAAGCTGGAAACCTGTAATCCACTTGCATAAGTTTTAATAGTTCCAGTTTTCAGCTTTCTTCAGATCTCCTCAAGTGTTCAACACAATAATGAAACTCAGAGATTTTGAACTGGAGTGAGTAAATGTTCAGTTTTGGATGAACTGTTTTATTAATAAAAATCAATATTATAATTTAACAAAGTAATACGCTTATAAAATAAATGCCTCTTTAAATGATATTGACTTGACTTGTTTTTTTTTCTTCTTCTTGAAACAGGTATCTAGGTATCGGTCAGCAGACTTGTGGAGTGGCGATTTTAGGCCCAGAAAATGAAAGCATCAGAAAAGACCCTTCATGGGTGGTCAAATAGACATTTTTCCCATCTTTTCTCATTATTAGGATTATAAAAACCACGCACATGTTCCTGGATCACGCACAGATCACTCTGGGTCCGTACAGGAGTCCTCATGATGAACAGAAGTATTGAAAATAGTGCTGAGCTCACTTGTTTATTTCAGTAAAGCAGCGTTTGTTTACACTGTTCATGGTGGACTCCATCTTTTATAAACTCATGGCTCTCTTTTTGGATTTATAAACTAGCATAATGTTATTTATGAGATGTGTACAATTATAATAAATGTGATCATAGACTGGAATATTAAATTCATTTTAAAAAAGCATAACTCATCCAGTTATTTATTACTTTTAATGTGCTTTGCTATTTGACTACAGTGTGCACTGCATAATGAATGAAATGACAAGCCACACTGCTTACATTCTAAAGGGAGTTTATGCAGCATTGTTAGCACATGCACATCGTGATGAACACACACACATATTAACACAACATCTGCTTTGGTACAAAGTGCCTGCATTAACATACAACACGGAATAGCAGCTTGAATACTCTATTCAGACGCTACCTTAGCTTGAGTTTTAACAATCGCTAGGACCAATTTCTCAATACATCCTTCAATTTTTTTTTTTAAAGAGTCGCCTGTTGAATCATTCAGGCCTGTCATAGATACATATATCACCAACAGGTGGCAGTAAGTGCATGTCTTAATTAAACGTTTAATTGAATCATTCATTTAAAGGGCACCTATTTTACCCCTTTTACTTGTAAGATATACCTTTGGTGTCTCCTGAATGTGTCTGTAAAGTTTCAGCTCAAAACACCCAGCAGATGATTATAGCCTCCAGAATCTGCTCATTTGGAGCTCGCTTTGTGTTCAGTGTAGCTGTTTTTGTAGCCTGTGGCTTTAAATGCAAATGAGCTGCTTCTCCACGCCCACCGTGCCCACGTGCTTGTCTCTGCTTCTCATCATGCGTTACGTCAGATAAACAGCAGTCAGTGACAGACTCGGATGGAGCTGAAATACAGCTCATTAGTCAAAAATACCAAGCTTTTGTCATGTATTTGTGGTGGAGTTTATTTAAAGCCTGATTTATACTTCTGCGTCAAGTGACCATCGTAACCCATGGCGCAGGCAACGCGCGTGGCTGTGCATTTATACTTCTGCGCTCTGTCTCTGTCGGTCTGCATTAACACTTCCGAAACGCTAGTTGGCAGTGAGGTGTAAATGTTCCTCTGTGTCGAGTTTCTTCGCTTCTGTTTTGCGTTTCCTGAACACTTCCGGGATGTACAAGTGGCTCAAACTCGCTCATTTTGAGGCAGGAACCGGCAGACGTGCAACAACTTTAACTATGAGGTAAACACAAAACAAAACTTTTCATCTGGAGCTCCTTCACGCGACTCCACACTTGTAAACAATCGCTCGCGCCATTCGCGCGGCTCTCGGTCCCGCCCAGACTTGTCAGCGCTACCAAGCCGACCAATCACAGAGCTTACGCTACGCGTTGTTGCGACGTGTAGTTACATTTTTTGAGAGGTGCACGTAAGTGACGGCCACGGCGAAGGGCTATGCGTCAGCGCCGTAGCATACGCCGGTGTTTGACGCAGAAGTATAAATCAGCCTTAAGCCCTTCTGAAATAATGAGTCTTACACAAGTGCCCTTTTGCAGTACACACATACAGTATATTAGCATTTACTGACACCATGCGGCCTTGGAGATTATAGCGGTTAAGAATTAGATAGCTATTTTACTGTCTTTATTACAAACATGCTGTTTTAGAAACGTTTTTAACTTGTAAAACACACAGAGAGTTGTAACAGATATTTTAATCTCAGTTTATTTGCAAAAAATGTTCTGTGGACATGTATGCGTTATTATAGAAACATGCCGTCTGTCAATCAATTTGGTGGGCGGGGAAAACTGCACTTCTATGTCAAGTTGCGGTGGGCCTCAATCTCACTGGGATTTGGGTCTTGTTTTAACGTCAAAATTTAACATTTTTACTTGTGCTTTTATCACTCCAATATGACTGGACACACTATACCTACACACAATTCTGTCCCAACATCTTACAAAAGATGATTTTCATCATAGGTGCCCTTTAAATGGTTCAATCGAATCACTGAATCATGATTTGATCAAACAGATTTATTCAGATGAAAGCATCAGTATTCCTGTCAAATGCTTTGTCGATTTTCCTTGGAGAAACAAACAAAAAGGTTATTAAAACATAAAAGTTTAACAGAATTTGAAAAAACAACACTTGCATATGCATTATTTCTAAACCGCATCTGATCCTACAAATAACAAAATCACATACTGTAAAATACGAACAGGGTTTGTACAAGTGCTGGAAAAACTTAACAATTCCTGAATTTGAATAGCTATATTTTTTTTAAGGTTTAAAAAGTGCTCAGATTTTGGATAAAGTGCTCGAAACTGCTTAAGAACTGAGTTCTGTTGTTTTCCTAATGTAATTGTGTTGTTTTCATAAATGCCATTTTGAAAAAATCGGAATAAAAAAAACTTGGTTTTGGTTTTAATTTAAATTATATTTAATTATGTACTGTTTCATATATTCAACATTTTAAATAGTGATTAAATTAATATATAATAATAGCCTGATGTAAGTTTATAAAGTTTAAAATAAACAGCATCTGATGAGGAAGCGCCCTCATATGTCATTTACTTCTGGAAAAGTGCTTCAATTTGAAACTGGAAAAGGTCTGAGTACCCTGTTTTTAGCTATCTTTTTATTATAGACTATAAATATTGCACACCCCTATGCAGTAAAACCGCTGTGCAAAATGCTTTATGAAGTGACCCACAGTAAGTATTGAGAAATGTGTTCTAGTGACTGTAAAAAATGAAAATAAAACGAGACAGACAGTGGAATTGTGCTATATTAAGCCAGTGAGTAGCACAAAAATCATTCAGAGATCTCTAAAAATAAGCTCAAGTAGAATAAAAATAAATAGGGAAATCTTGCATATTCACAAAAGATACCACATGGCTTCATTTAAAAGGGATGATTAGCTAATCGATGGACTGTCAATCACAACACAAATATATTTTGTGGCTGAATGTCTAACATCAACTGCTTCGCATGTACCGTATATGATTATGTGTTCTACAGGTCGAGTCCTCTGATCTTGAGGTGTTAAATGGCGGAGCTGTCTTTAGCTCGGAGCCGGACGATGTGCTCCAGCTGGCCTGAATCCGACACGTCGTAGCTGGTTTTGTATTTGGCCAGAATCTTCATGAGCGGCCGCAGACGGAGCCACCACTGCTCCTTCGGGATTCTGTGACTGTAAATAACAACAGGTGTCGCTCAATGCACAAATATATAAGATATATGCAGTAAAAGTAATCTTTCTTTTTTCTTCTCTTTTTTTTATTTCCCAAATGGTGTTTAACAGAGCAAGGGAATTTTCACAGTATGTCTGATAATATTTTTTCTTCTGGAAAAAGTCTTATTTGTTTATTTCGGCTAGAATAAAAGCAGTTATACATTTTTTTAAAAACCATTTTAAGGAAAATATTATTAGCCCCTTTAAGCTGTTTTTTTGCTTTTCGATAAGCAAGTTATTGTACAACAAAGGTTTGTTCTGTATACTAGTTACCCTAACTTACCTAGTTAAGCTTTTAAATGTCACTTTGAGCTGAATTATTAGCATCTTGAAAAATGCCTAGTCAAATATTATTTACTGTCATCATGGCAAAAATAAAATAAAGCAGTTATTAGAGATGATTTATTAAAACTAATATGTTCAGAAATGTGTTGAAAAAAATCTTTCTGTTAAGCAGAAATTGGGGATAATAATTCAGGTGGGCTATATATAGTTTTACATATATATAGTTATGTTATTATACGCAAGTTATGTCATATTCCAGATCTGCAGGAAAATTTCAAGCATTTTCCATTCATTTTGTTAAAACAGAATGATATTAAACAAATGTTGAGTTAGCAATACTCTGAATTCATTGTTAATGTAAAGCAATGCTTCAATGTTTTGGGGGAAATGTTTGATTCTGTTATTAGTTGTTGTTATACTTTTTTAAAAGCACTAACAGTTGACATTCTCCATCATTTTGTGCTTTAGCTCAAGATGCTAACCTCAAACCAGACACCACATGGCACGTCTAAAACGTATTCTAAAAGTTATTATAGCTTTAAAAAAGTAAATGAGAAATTCACAGAAATATCAGAATAACAGAGTTGGCATCACCCAATCTACTATTGGCGTTTCCTAAAGTTTTTTTTTTTGCTTTTAATGATTAATCACATGCCTTAATGTCTTCCAGATTTGTGTATCAGAGGAAGTGACATCACTTGGAGCATGTCAAATGCTTTTTCTATCAGCACTTTAAAGATTGTTGTCTTTTTAAATAAGCTCTAATAGAGTTAACCAGAATGTAGAGACAGACACAACGTTATTTTTTGTACTGAATAAGAGAGAAGAGAAAATATCCTAAACTATACAAATATAGTTTTTTTTTCTTTGAGAAAACATATATACACAGTTGTAGTGAGAATTATTAGCCCCCTTTGAATTCTTTCTAAAATATTTCCCAAATGATGTTTAACAGAGCAAGGAAATTTTCACAGTATGTCTGATAATATTTTTTCTTCTGGAAAAAGTCTTCTTTGTTTTATTTCGGCTTGAATAAAAGCAGTTTTTAAATTTATAAAAAACATTTTTAGGTCAATATTATTAGCCCCTTTAAGCTATATTTTTTGATCTACAGAACAAACCATCATTATACAGTAACTTGCCTAATTACCCTAACCTGCCTAGTTAACCTAATGAACCTAGTTTAGTCTTTAAATGTCACTTTAAGCTGTATAGAAGTGTCTTGAAAAATATCTAGTCAAATATTATTTACCGTCATCATGGCAAAGATAAAACAAATCAGTTATTGGAAATGAGTTATTAAAACTATTATGTTTAGAAACGTGTTGAAGAAATTTGCTCTACATTAAACAGAAATTAAGGGGAAAAAATAAACGTGGGCGAATAATTCTGACTTCAACTGTATATATAAAACCATTTTTATTAAAGTTTTTTTATAATAGGTTTTTCTAGCCGAATGTGTCTGCAATTCTAGAAACAACTATATGCTTTATATTTATATTATATTTATATAAATACTTTATATATTATGTTTACATTATAATATATAAACAACATGTATAAAATGTGTGTGCTCTTTTAATATATATCAAAAGTTCAGTAAGAGCAAATTCTGTCGGGAAAAAAGATTCTTGTATTGTCTTAGTGTGACATGTTCTAACCATAGTCATGACAATAAACAATGCTAAATTAGCCCTAATCTTAAACCTAACCCTACAGTAAGTATACATTTTTAAAAGAGTTTTTCTTAGCATTTAAATGCATATCATATGATGTTAGTGGTGCATGACTGTGGTCTTACACAAAATCTGTCTCGTCTTTGAGCTGAACAACAGGCTGGAAGAGCAGAGCCCTGCGCCGCATTCCCAGCAAACATGCAGAGTCTTCAGTGTTCGCAAACACACGGCCTGAAAACACACCACACACACAAACATAAAATGCAGACAAACACAGCATAATGCCACCACTTTAAAGTGAACAATGGTAAATATTAATAATAGTATAAATAATAATAATTTTAAATCCATATTTACCTTCATCTGAGGCAACAGAGGAAAGCAAAACACAAAAAGCAAAAGAAAATGACTCAAAACTCTGCCATGAAAATCCCGACAGTCACAACTAAACACTTTAACAATATACTGCAATAAATATAATAATTAAGCCTTTATTTGTTCAAATGAATTTACAATACTTCACAATTAACCCTTAATAATGCATCAATAAGACCAAATAGGATACTCTTTACTTAAAGGGGGTGTTCATAAGACTGTTATGAAACATTTGTAATGATGAAAATGAATATTTTATCAATCGTTAAGTGTCATTCGCTCAGTTTTGTTATTTTAAATGCAAACATGACTTGTTTGTGATGTCTTCGTTATGACGCCATTACTAAGACTACATAACTTTCTATTTAAATCTATCATAAACATGATTGTCATGAGGCCATTATACAGTAACTGACATGGATTTTATAATGAGGATTGTAGCCATTCAGTTGATTTCCACTCTTGACAATCCAATGGGAATTTGAACACAGTCCGTGCATAAGTACTGTAGGTTTAGTTTGATGCACCTAACTTTCGCTGACCACATGATGGCGAATATTTTAAATAGTATTGTTAATTTTTTTTTTCTTGACCTCAACTACAGTGGCATAAATTTAATTTGTTAGGACAGTCATATGAACACCCCCTTCAAGTAAAGTGTTACCACCAGTTTATGTTTTATGTGTAGGGAACACATCATTCTGCTGCTGTCTCATTACCGTCTCTGTAAAACTCTTTGAGCTTCTTGGAGATCCATTGCATGGCTTTAGCTGCGATCTTCGTGCCAAAGTTCCTGTCAAACGGTGAAGGAGCGCCACCCTAAAACATCACAACAGGACAGATTAAAGTCGATGGTTGCAGGTTTTCAGCTTTCGTCAAAACATCTTTCTTCCTTATTATGACATTTCTGTAATGAGTTATTTACAGTGTTAAAGAATTGTGTTCTCTGTATTAGGAGAATTATACCAAATATGATGTTTACTAATATTAGCGGCCCAGTAATAAAGCAGAAAGTTTGGCAGACCAAGACCCCCTTCTTTTTATGTCTCTGGATTTGGCGAGGTTTGCCCTGTAATATACACTACCTGACAAAAGTCTTGTTGTTGATTCCAGTTGTCGGAGCAAAAAAATAATAACTTGACTTCAAGTTGATCATTTGGAAAAGTGGCAGAAGGACGATTTTTCTGTTGAACTGCATCCTAATAATCAAAAATACTGCAGAAGACCTACTGGAACCCACATAGACTCAAGATTTTCCCAGAAATCAGTCAAGTTTGGTGAAGGAAAAATCATGGTTTGGGGTTACATTCAGTATGGGGGCGTGCGAGAGATCTGCAGAGTGGATGGCAACATCAACAGCCTGAGGTATCAAGACATTTGAGCTGCACATTACATTACAAACCACAGGAGAGGGCAAATTCTTCAGCAGGATAGCGCTCCTTATACTTCAGCCTCCACATCAAAGCTCCTGAAAGCAAAGTCAAGGTGCTCCAGGATTGGCCAGCCCAGTCACCAGAAATGAACATTATTGAGCATGTCTGGGGTAAGATGGAGGAGGCATTGAACATAAATCTTGATAAACTCTGGGAGTCCTGCAAGAATGCTTTCTTTGCCAATACAGATGACTTTATAAATGCGTTATTTGAGTCATTGCAGAGATGTATGTATGCAGTCGTCCAAGCTCATGGGAGTCAGACACAATATTAATTCTTTTTCCACTGCACCATGACTTTATATTCTATACTGGACATTATTTCTGTTAAGTGACTTTAGTCAAAGTAAAGTCAGACCTTACTGTTCTAATGAAATCATTACAAATCAAGACATGATCATATTTTATTTGGTAAAATAAGCATAATCTAGAGGCCTTTGCCTTTAATATAAGCCAATTCTGATACCAAATTATAAACTAGAAGTCAAGTTATTATTTGTTGTTCCTAAAACCTGGATAGGCGACAAGACTTTTGTCAGGTAGCGCTTAGGAGGAAAAAGCCCCATCCAAAAGCTTAAAAAAGGACTTGAGTAAAAACAAAAGAAACAGAAACAAAAACCTAGGCAAAATATTCATTTTAATCGACTGAATTCAAATAATTAAAGTCAACGGTAAGTTATCCCATCGTTGCGAATAAGAGTTCTCATGCAAACCTTGGACGGACTGCTAAAAACAAATTGCAAGTTTATCCTTGTCAAAAATCTGCACGACCTGCTGGAGAACACCTCCAAATAACTGTGTTTGGTTGTATGGTGACGTTGAAGTTGTTCAGCCATAGTTGATTTAATCCTTTCACACATAAGATTTAAAAACTTCAGCTGTGCGAGTTATGTAACATTATCTAGCTATTTAGAACTCATCACAGAGTTCAGATAAAATGTTTCCACTGCTTTATTTGCAGCGTTATCAAAGGTTGTAGTTGATCACTCAGCATAGATCCGCCCAGAGAATAACAACAGGCATTTTCCACAAAGAATTGCAATAGAATAGAAAATCTTTCTCCTATAATACATAACACCTGAAGACTGAACATATTTGTTTGTATTCTCCTGTACATTCATCCTGCTGTTTTTGTAAAAGTAAAAAAAAAAACATTCTGAGCAAACATGGATGCTAGAAATACTAGATGAAAAAACTGTGATGGCATATTTTAAGAAAGTAATTTTTAAGGGGAACCGACTTTCTTCAGAAAAGTTCAGATGGTTTTTTCTTAGGCGGTATTTACTTTATAAAACATGCAAAAACAACAACAAAAAAACGACAAAATAATTCAAAATCAGGCCATGAAAGATGAAGATTGTTGCATCGCTGGCTCTGGTCTGTGTGTGTGTGTGCGTGTGTGTGTGTGTACCTGCTGCATGTGTCCCAGGACATTCTTCCTGCAGTCAAACACTCCTTTACCCTCTTCAGAGTACAGCTGATAGATGAAGTCAGTGGTGTAGTTCTCATTGCTGTTCTCATTCCTGCAAAACACACACACACACACACACACACATTACTGAGGCATTCATGGTCTAACATACATACTCATCTCACTACAGATGTTGTCACAAACACGTTCAGGAGTGTATTGTGTTGAAATCATACCTGAGCACTAGTCCTCTCTGGATGCTGGTCTTCATCTTCTCTGTTAAATGCTCGACGTTAGACTGAAAAATAGAGCACTCATAAAAACACACACACTCTCTCTCTCTCTCTCTCTCTCTCTCTTTCTCTCTCTCTCTCTCTCTTTCTTTAAATAGTGTGCTCTGTTAAATATTCCTCTGTGTGTGTGCGGGATGAAGCAGAGGACAAGAGGGACACTGTAATGCCAGAGTCTGACAGAAGGGGGTGATCTTCACCTCTCACCCTCATCCATAAACAATAACTGCGGCTCATCCTGCAGCGCTGCTGAACTACTGCCTGAAGGCTCAATTCAACACACCTCTGACCTTCTGTATTACTAATATTAGTAATATTGCATTGGGGAACTGCAAACTCAATTACAACTACTATAAACTTTGAAATCCGTAAAACTTTTTTTTAAATCTCACTAGAGCTGATCCAAAACTAATATTGTGAAATAATATTTCAGTTTAAATTGTAACTTTTCAGGTGAAGCAAAGCCAGAAATCAATCAAGTATGCTGATTTAATGCTGAAGAAACATTTCTGATTATCAGTGTTGAATTACCAATATTGTTCATTATCAAATTATCACTGTTGTGTTTTGCTGCATATTATATTGATTTACAGTGCATCCGGAAAGTGCATTCATAGCGCTTCACTTTTTCCACATTTTTTTGTTACAGCCTTATTCCAAAATAAATGTATTTCCTCAAAATTCTACACACAATACCCCATAATGACAATGAAAAAATATTTTTTGATATTGTTGCAAATTTATTACAAATAAAAAAGCTGGAAAATCAAATGTACATCAGTATTCACAGCCTTCACCTGGGCCTTCACCTGTCGTCAATTCAGTTGATTGGACATGATTTGAAAAGGCATACACCTGTCTATATAAGGTCCAGGGTTGACAGTGCATGTCAAAACACAAAACAAGCATGAAGACAAATGAATTGTCTGTAAACCCCCAAGACAGGATTGTCTGGAGGCACAAGGCTGGGGAAGGTTACAGAAAAATTTCTGCTGCTCTGAAAGTTCCAATGAGCACAGTGGCCTCCAACATCCATAAGTGGAAGATGTTTGAACCACCAGGACTTTACCTAGAGCTGGCCGGCCATCTAAGCTGAGTAATCGGGGATAAAAGGCCTTAGTCACTGAGGTGATCAATAACCTTATGGTCACTCTGTCTGACCTCCAGCGTTCTCCTGTGGAGAGAGGAGAACCTTACAGAAGGACAACAATCTGTGCAGCAATCCACCAATCAGGCCTGCATGGTAGAGTGGCCAGACAGAAGCCACTCCCCACCTGGAATTTGCCAAAAGGCATCTGAAGAGCTCTTAGACCATAAGAAACAAAATTCTCTGATCTGATGAGACTAAAATTTAACTCTTTGGAGTGAATGCCTGGCATTACGTTTGGAGAAAGCCTGGCACCGCTCATCACCAGGCTAATAGCATCCCTACAGTGAAGCATGGTGGTGGCAGCATCATGCTGTGGGGATGTTTTTCAGCAGCAGGAACTGGAAGACTAGTCAGGATAGAGGGAAAGATGAATGCAGCAATGTACAGAGACATCCTGAATGAAAACCTGCTTCAGAGTACTCTTGACCTCAGACTGGGGCGACGGTTCATCTTCCAGCAAGACAATGACCCAAAGCACACCCGCCAAAATATTAATGGAGTGGCTTTACAACAACTCGGTGAATGTCCTTGAGTGGCCCAGCCAGAGCACAGACCTAAATCCTATTGAGCATCTCTAGAGAGATCTGAAAATGGCTGTACACTGTCACTTCCCATCCAACCTGAAAGAGTTTGAGAGGTTCTGCAAAGAGGAATGGGCAAAAATTCCCAAAGACAGGTCTTCAAAAAGACTTGAGGCTGTAATTGCTGCCAAAGGTGCATCAACAAACTATTGAGCAAAGGCTGTGAATACTTTTGTACATGTGATTTTTCAGGTTTCTTATTTTTAATAAATTTGCAACAATTAAAAAAAAACTTTATTCACATTGTCATTATGGGGTATTGTGTGTGGAATGTTGAGGAAATAAATGAATTTAATCCATTTTGGAATAAGGCTGTAACATAAAAAAGTGGAAAAAATGAAGCACTATGAATACTTTCCGCATACACTGTATATCAACACATATAAAATGTTAGTTAACATTTGTGACTTGAGTTTTAGTTTTGGTAATGGATAAATTAAGCTTGAAGTATCTCTATGTATCGTTATTTTATATGACATTAAACACGATCCTCACAGAATACAATTGACACAAGCAGGGTGCATATCTAAAACAGTCAAATCTAGGACACAAGCTAAATATATATAGACCCAGAGCTAAATTGAGCAGGACTCCTTCAGAAAAGCGGAAAGTGAAGTGTTTCTGACCTGCAGGTCTCGGATGTCAAACGGCTCCTCATAGATGTACGCAGCATCAGCTCCAGCTGCAAGACCACCTACGGTTGCCAGATATCCACAATAACCCCCCATGGTCTCGATGATGAACACGCGACGCTTCGTCCCGCTGGCCGACTGCTTTATACGGTCACACGTCTGACAGAACAACACATTATAATGGATTAAGCATGAAGAAATAAGAAATAAGAGACAGACATGCAGAGCTCAGATCAGCTGCAGTTTAAACACGCACACACACACATAAATGAAAAGAACAATTAGACACACCAGAACAATTAGACATATACAGAATATTAAACAAGTAAAACACAATTAGAGAAGCACAAACCAAAATTAACTGGCCAATTGTGAGAAAAAATTGTAAAAATAATTTAATAATATATGTAATTCATTCTAAAAGATTTGTATTTATTTATTAGTTAAAATGCACAAAAGCACACACATCAGTCTAAATGGGTGCTCAGGCGTTAAGTTTATTTATAAACTAATTTCGAGAGGATCACATGCTTATGATTGCTTGCAGCTGGTCCTGCATTATCCAATTTATGATTGACCAATCAGACGATACCTAAGCCACTATAAATACCCTAAGTTCCATATGACAGCCATCTTCATTTTGAAGAATCCTCTCTTTCACCCCTACTTCTCCTCCTCCTCCTTTCCTAGATGGGTGGCACGGTGGCCCAGTGGTTAGAACTGTTGCCACATAGCAAGAACGTCACTGGTTCTAGTCCTTACCAAGCCAGCCGACATTTCCATGCGGAGTTTACACGCTCCACCCGTGCTCACGTGGCTTTCCCCCGGGTTCCACAGGTTCCTCCCACCATCCAAAAACATGCAACTTAAGTTAATTGTCTAATCCAAATTGGCACCATAGACATGCTCCAAGTAAGTTATCTCTTAAGAGGAATCACTATCTGTTTGTTAGCTACTACAACAGGGGAGTTCTTGGGATCTGCCTGAGCTCAAACTCCCCTCTCGAAGATCTTCAGTCAAGTTTGGTATGCCAAATATGCTTTATAATCAATCATCAGGTAAGTGTGAACTCTTGAAAAACAGCAAAAAGTGCAAAAATATTTTCAAAAACACCAAAGCTCCAAAAATACCAATTTATTAAATTAAAAAGGCTAACACAAAGCTGATGAAGAGCCGCTGTGCTTGAAACGTTATATGCTTTGTGTTCGCCTTTTTGATAAATTAGTATTTTTGGAGCTTTGGTGTTGCCGCCTTTTTGAATATACATATTTATTATAAACAATATATGTATGTTTTTAAAAAATGTTTTAAATGATTTGAAACTATATGATTAATAAACAGTCACCTTGAAATTATTGTTATTTTTTTACATTTTATTTTTAATGATTTTTAAATTAGATTTGACATTTTCACAGGCTTTACTTGAAATATTTGTATTATTTACATCAAATATTTTGGAACGTTTTTAATTAGAACATTCTTTGATTCTTTAACACAAACACTTTGAATCTGAATGTTTCAAATAACTCAAAACACAGATAGAAGCTCATAATTGCAATGTTGTGACTATAAAAATACTTGTACACTGAAAAAATGATTCAATAATGATTCCTTGGATTTACTGTTTTTAAGGTAAGTGGTTGTAAACAATTTATTTGGACGGAATTTAAACAAACAAATTAAGTTGAACATTAGTAAATTTAATATGTTCATTTGTAACAATTTTTCAGAAATCTTTTTTTTCAGTGTTTAGTCATTAAGAAATATTGTCAAAGAAATGGGCATGTGTATTTTTAAATTTTGAATTTGTTTTTGCCCCTATGACTATAAATGCAAGAAATTATTTTTTACAAAATTAATTCAATTCAAACTAAATCTAGTAAAAACATATTTTATCATAAACGACTGTACATATTGGGACTGTGCACAAACGAAATAACTTTTAGTAATTAAAAAACTGCAGTCTAGAATTACTTTAGTGACTTTTTTATTCTACACAACTGCACCAATCTGCAGACATTTTTTGCTATTTCTGCGCAAATGTTTGTTTAAAAATAATTGCTGATTTATGTGGAATGATTTTGGGAGTATCATAACTAAAAACCAAAAGAAAATGAAATAAAAATAATACATTTTTAACTTTTACTTAAGGTTTAAAATGCAATTGATCCACTTATTTAGCAAGCAAAGCAAGTCTCTCATATAATATATCTACTTAAAGACAGAAAATGTTACTTTACAAATTGAACTAAAAATAAATCATATGAACATTTTCATATTAGTCCATAAAATTACTGAAATTAATTTAAAAACTAAATAAATGTAAATAAACCCAATTAATAAATAGAAGCAGATTCGTGCGCATTTCATGTTGCCCTACACAGTGCATCAATCACTGTAAGCACATATCCCTATGACAGTTTATTCATTCAGCAGTTTTACGGTCACAGAAGTGTGAAGTTTATTAGACTTAATTGTTGTAATTGTTCAATTATTAAATCCACTTTCCTCACAATTGGCATTGTGTTAATTTTGTGTTCATTTTGGACATATCACATGCAATCACAAGACATTTAACAGTAACACAGATCATGCATGTGGTTTCAGCTCAGTAAACGTGTGCTGATGTGCAGATCCTCATTCTGGATGAACAGTGTTTGCTGTGCTACTGGGAGAATACACAAGCATTTCAGATGGCCATATCTGTATTTAACTGATAAATATTAAGAAATAAAAAAAAATCATTTTAAAAACATTTTGTATTTATTCTAAATTTGTAAAGGTGCACTTAGTATTTTTATTTATTTTTATTTTTTTAACAGTCTCTTTTAAAATTAAATAAAAATTAAAAAAGTCTACATTGTCACAGAAACCCCATCACAAACATTTACACATGTACACTTTTTTTTTTTTTTTTTTTTTTACAAGATTCTTACATCATATTTAAGCCACAGTCACACTGCACTTTTCTACCCATAGACTTCCATTCATATACACGCAAATGCATCAGACCGGAAACGCAAGCTCGTGTGCAAGTTTCACAGTTCGCTGCGTTGGAAAGTTCATGCTTGGTGAACTCTGATTAGCGAAACCTCATCACTTGACTGTGTGAGACCAATCGAGGATCAAAACATGACCTCTCTGGACAAAAATTTATATGGACCAATCGCTCACTTTTTTAATGTCTAATCATCTTGTTTAATCCCGCCCCTTTTCGCAGTGCCGTACTACAGAATTTCCATTGCTCAAACTCTAGTGTAATCTCAGCTTTATATGTATGTATATGGAGCAAAATTGTGTATTTTTTTATTACACATTACGTGTGAGTGTGTCTGTGTATGTCTGTACACATTCATAATTTTATAATATATTAATTTAATAATTTTAGATTAAATCTATTTTTAATTCTCGAATTTTCTTCATATGTTTGAAATATTTAGATCTGGCATGGGCATTTAGATCCTGGAGATCCTGGAGGGCCTGTCCTGCACTGTTTTGCTCCAACACTAATCAAACACACCTGCCTGTAGCTTTCTAGTGATCCTAAAGACACGGATTAGTTTGTTTGATTAGTGCTGAAGCAAAACTCTGCACATACACCAGCCCTCAATGATCAAGTTTGCCCTTCCCTGATATAGATTGTATTTAGTTATTTTATGTATAAAACAACCTTTGGTCATAATAGCAAATAAGAAAATCAAGTTTATTTATATTTCTTAACTCTTCTGAAATTAAAATGACCATGTAAGGGAAGCTCTGGAGCACTCAACCACCATACAAGGTGCATAGACAAAATGCAAATATAGTACAAAACCTCCAGAAACACTTGTAATAAAGGAGAAAATGTTAATGAAAATAAATAAAGCCATTTATTTTATTTCATTAAAATGTTCTCTTTTATTACAAGTGTTGCTGAAGTTTTCCTTTTTTTTTTTTTTTTTACTAAAAATGACAACAAACATGTCTGAAACCATGAAATTAATTAGTGGATTTGTGACAAAGCCCAAGACTCAGATTTAGCAGAAGTAACTTAGTGCACCTTTACAAACACAGCCTGATCAATGATTGTCCAATGCAAGCTGCTGTAAATCTCCATGTAAGTGCTGGCGAGGCTGAGGGTGGTGTCTTACCTCCACTATGGCATTGAGTGAGGTGTCAGCGCCGATGCTGAGGTCAGTGCCGGACACATTATTACTGATGGTGGCGGGCAGCATGCACAGGGGCACGCAGAACTCCTCATACCTGCTGCGGGCGTCCACCAGCTGCAGCAAACTCTCAAACGCCTGCAGCACGAGCATGGGTTAGGACTAGCGCTCACTTACTAGTGCACACTACATAGGCTGCTGGAGTAATTTCTCCTTTCCGTTTGAGTGGATGGGGAAATGTTAAAGGGATAGTTCACCCAATAATCAATATTCTGTCATCATTTACTCATCCTTCATTGGTTGGAATGTTGGAAACTTGTTCCCATGGACTTCCATAGTTTTTCCTCTTGGAAGTCAATGGTTACAGGTTTTCAGCTTTCTTTAAATATCTTCATTTATAAAAGAAAGAAACTCATAAAGGTTTGGAAGCACTTGAGGGGGAGTAAATAAGAGAGCATATTTCATTTTTGGGTGAACTATCCTTTTAAGACGCTGAGATCATACACGTGTTTGACCAGCAGGTGGAGCTCCAGCTTGTGATGTGGGCGTGGTGTTCACTAAGTGTGGTTTATTCATAAACTAATTTCGAGAGGATCACGTGCTTATAATCAACACGGCTGGCTCCTTGTTAGCTCCGTAATCAGCCCTATTAGATGATTACGGAAGCATTATAAATAACCTGAGTTTTCCACTCCAGTTATCTTCGTCTTGAAGCTCGCTTCCCGCTACAAAACGCTCCAGCATCGCACCATTTAACCTATCGATACGGAAGAACAAACAACAACAACAACAACAACAACAACAAACAACAACTCAAGCCAGAGCTCCACTCTCCCCGAGAATTCAGCCGCAGCCTCGCCAAAATCGAGCCTGAATTCCCGCAAAAACGCCGGTGCTGCCCACCAGCTCTTCCATCTCCACTTCAAACTGCCTCACGCAAACGCAGTCCACAACTCCACCTAAACTCTCTAGGCGTCGACGATCCAAAACATCGCAAAGTCTAGCTCACTGCTT